TTTTCCTAAATTGTTTAAAATGACATTTTCTGCCTTTTGAGGCACCAAAACTACTTTTGGTTGAGTTTTGACACCAAAACTACTGGAGCAGGTTTTTGGAAAAATGTCTGAAGCTTCTCCAAAAACATTTGAATCTTCTGAACCTGAAAACTAACAGCAGGTTCAAAAAGTGTTTCACCTTCTTTTAAAAATCACCAGAAATTACTCAGAAATGTTCCTGTTTGTCCTGGATGCTGAGAGAGAACGTGTACTAGTGGTACCGGCACCAGAACCAGGTTTAGTTTAGATATGATGTCATTAAAAACCAAAGTACAGACGTAGTACGTAGCCATGTTTATTCATGTTTGCAGTAAAACTACACGTTCATCAGCCCGCGGCCCGTCTGGACAAACCCTGCAGGGAAAGCACTGATCAATAAATAAAATGATTATTATTGATCACCAAGGTTCTGGTCAGTCAGAAACAGGACTAGTTTTAGATTTTAACACATATTTATGGAGTGTTTGGGCTGAAACGTACCAGAAATCCACAGAAAGCTGGTTCCTCTCTGCTTCCACCAGTTGATTTGATTGTTTTTCTAAATATGACATTTTCTGTCGTGTTTTCCCTCCGAGCAGAGATCTGCTCCTCTTCAGTGTAAAACTATGACTGTTGGGTTTATTTGTTCCTGAACTGCACTTAAAAAACTCTCAAACTGAACCGTTTGCATCGAGCTTTCTGAGTTCAGACGCCTTCTAATATGAATTCTCTGTTTAGAAATGAAACGCTGCTGTTTAATTGTAAAACGTGATTATTCCACCTGCTGCGGTTTAAAACACGTTGAGCTCTAGACGCTCTGAACGCTTTGAGAAGTGAGCTGCCATTTGTTATGTTTTTCACACAAAGGTGCAGACACCGCTGAAGTACACTCACATCAACTATTTATTTAGCTCGTTACAGTGATGGAGTGAGTCGGTTTTATCACTTCCAGCCTCTTCAGCGAGTGACGAACACGTTGGTGTTTACGGGACAAACAGAGCGAAGACGTGCAGAGACACAAAACACTGAAAAGAGATGACGTAGGATTCCTAAAGTCTGGTCGTTGGAATCAAAAACAAAAATCAAAAAATCAGCGAAACAAATCCTCAGAGACGTTCTGAAGACGTTTTCATTTGGTCAAACTGAGCTTAACCGGACGTTCCTCTGAAAACAGTTGACTTTGTTTATTTGTTTTTAAATTTTGGCAGCATTTTTCATTTTTATCTGAACACTTTCAGAGGAGACCAGCTTTACCTTTACCTTTACCTCCAGGAAGCTCTTGTTAGCTTAAAAATGTGATTCATCTGACACAGGGGAGACCAGCTTTACACAACTATACTACGGCTGTGGTTCCTGTTTGTGCCACAAGGTGGAGCCTCTCGTCATTTCAGTTTAAACTAGCAGGAAGCATCGAGGCACCACGAGTGTCGCTTAACGACCTCTGAGAAGCTCTCGTTAGCTTTAAACGCGATTAATCCAACACATGAGAGACCAGCTTTATAAAACTACATTACGGCTGTGGTTCCTGTTTGTGCCACCAGGTGGAGCCTCTCGTCGTTTCAGTTCGGTCATAAGTCTAGTGTCACTTAACGACCTCCAGGAAGCGCTCGTTAGCTTAAAACGTGATTAATGAGAGACCAGCTCTGTATGAAATGAAATCAAAGACATTTCAGTGTTTTCAAGTGTTTTCTTTGTAAAATAAACGTCGTCTGAATCTGATTGGACGCTCGTGTTTGGTCTCTTCCTGGATTTAAAATCAAACCGACACGACAGCTCATTTAGAAACTTTCTCTCATATTATGAAAACAATTCATGTAAATATGTTTCTGAAAATATTCGAGGTGTGAAATAAGTTGCTGGATGTTTAATTACATGAACAATGTTTTAATTAAAATAATTATATTTTACAGCTGATTTAAACACAGTAAAGTCGTGTGATTTTACAGTCAAACACTGTAAAAGAATAAATCACTATTTGTTAAAATACAGACTTGATCAGGACGTAGTCTACAGTTTCTGACTGTTTATATGATTTTACTGGTAGTTTAACTGAGTGGGGATCATCTGTAAAGACAAAAAGTTCTTTGTTAAAAGAAAGTTAAAGCATGTCAGTGGTTTTCATGGTGTGACTGATTCGTGGAGCTGCTTCACATCTGAAGTCATGGAAACCTCGGATTTTCTGTGATTTCTTATTAAAAAGCTGCACAAACGTGTTGCGTGATGCAACGACGAACTAACCGGAGGCGGAAAAGTCAAGTTTGTTTGGAGGGAAACCCTTGTGCCAGATGTTGCTTCAAAAAACAGAATGATGGAAAAAAGAAAATGGAAAAGCAAGAAGAAGTAAAAGTTGGACCTAATAGAGCAGAGGACAGTGAAGCTGGCTCACACACTGAGCTCCATCCAGCTGTCCTGGTTAGTTCTGGTGTCTCTAATGTTTAACTTTGGGAGGTTTAGTTGGTTTAGTGGTTGTTAAACTGGTCCGTGTGGTTCTGTGTTGCAGCAGCAGCAGCTCCGTCCTACAGAGTAAATCTTTGCTCAGCGTTGCTGCCAAGTACATGCCCGTCCTAATGCACGAGAAAAGCTGTAAAATGTTAACACGCTGCAGCCATAAATCCGGAGTGGACGACCCCTCTGTGACTAAAGCGCCATAAAACCCGGCTTCGGCGAGGCCGCTCCGACTCCTGCAGCCGCTTCCAGAACTCAGCACTTCACTTTTTGTGCTGACTTTAAACATCGGTACGGCGTCGCCTCAGAAAACGGGTCACCGTCGCAGGTAGCGGCGCGCAGATGGCGAAACCCAACGTCTTTCATTTATGCGCTGCTCATTTGTTCCGGATCGCATTCGTATGCGAGCCGAGCGTCGGGTTCTGCTGCGAGAGCGCGAGGACGTCGTAGCGGCGCCATGGAGGAGCTCCGGTCTCCGAGCTGTCAGTCCGACCTGAAGCAGCATGCAGTATTCATGGCGACGCACGGAGACGCCTCGCCGGAGCTGCCGGTGTGAGACGGAGTTCACTTCAACAGGGATGCTAACAGAGAAGCTGCTCTGAGCCACAGTCTTCATCTTCAGCTCTGCCTTCTGATCATGATGTAACGTCGACGTCTCCGGCTAAAAGAACAATCGCTGCCTTTCCCAGAATGCACCGGGCAGAGACCAGCGTGGACACATCGCCGCTTTAACCCCGTTAACACCCGCCGCCGGTCGCCTGGCAACCGCACAATTACAGGATTGACATGGTGGAAATGTGGAAATAAAATTTAAAAAAAACAGGATGTTCAGCAGCAGCCAGAGAAAGTAGCTGTGAGTGTAGAAGACGTGGTGTTTGTTCCAACTTATTGTAATCAGGTTGGACCAACGAGTTTCACTGAATGAAGTTGAGATAACTCATGTACATGAAGCTAATCCAACAAAATCACTTTTTTAGTTGCACTCAAAAAAAACAAAAAAAAACAACACTTCTAAACATGAATGTAGAAAAAGTGGTGTCTGCATGTTCTGGTTCCAGCTTCATCAGGTTGGACCAATGAGTTCTGCAGGAGAAAATGAAGTAGATTCAACTCGTGTACATTAAGTTTGTCAAACTAAATGACTTCAGTTACACTAAAAAAAAAAAAAAACAACTCTTTGAATGACCAGAAATAAAACAGTCTGATGATCTTCAGCTTCATGTGCTGATGTTAACTCAACATCATTTGTTTGGGTTCATTCAATTTATTCCCAAGTGCTGAGTCCAACTTCACTTCATCAGGTTGGACCAACTAGTTTTACACAGAAAATAAAGCTGATTGAAGTCAAATAATTAAAGTTGGTCCAACTAAAAGTTAATCCAGAAAACAACTTAACTAACATATTTAACTGCACTAGAAATAAATGAACTTAATTAAATTAAGTATTTCCAAGAGATGAAATAACTTTCTTCCATCATTAACCCATTCTGTTGGTCCAGCATATTGAACCGACTGGTTCTACAGGATTAAACTCCAACACAACAGTTTGCTGCTGGACGGCTGACTGGAGCAGATGTGACACTGAGTTTATGGGGATTTCTCATTTAAAAAGCTGCACAAATGCGCCGTGTGATGCAACCACATAATGACTGCAAGTGAAGAAGTCAAGCTGGTGTTATTAAAGCTCGCTGTGGCGTGTCACTGGCTCTAAACTTTGCTGCGCTGCTCTCTGAAGTCGGCCGGAGTGACATTTCCAGACTCTTTATCAGCTGAACGTCTGGATGCTGAGCTCTTCTCGCCTCGTCGCGTCTCCTCGTCGTCACCTCCGAGCTGATGATGATGACGGACGCCTGGAAACGTTGGTCGTTCATCATCGGCCGGTCCGTCTGAGCCCGGCCGTGACGTCTCCACTGTACGCCGTGTCACAGTGAAATATTACAGCAGGAGCTTCAGGTGGAAACGGAGACGTCAGCGGCGCCTTATCTGTTAGCTGTACAAAGCAGATAACACGCTTCACACTCCATCAGCATCTCCCCGTATCGCAGCACAGGAGATTTCTTTACATTAATATTAACAACCAGCCACGATTTGTTCTGAGAAAGACGAATCTGCTCCTCACTGATGTATTAATATGTCAAACAGCAGCAGAACCGGGACCTGAAAGACCCGATAAGAGGCAGCAGGTTATTGTTTCTAAAGAGTGTCAGATTGGTCCTTTAATTTTTACCAAAAACTCATGTTATGAAATCAGACGTCGCCCTGAAGCAGGAAGGATGTGATGGAGACATTATCCTCCAAAGTTAAAGTCTTTCTGGTGACTGTTGATGTGCTGAGCTGCACAGAAAAGGCTGCGATCAATTTGTGCTAAATGATAATTGTGATACCGAATGTGACCTTGGAAGACGTCCGTGTGATCTGATGGGAGGCTGGATTCAGTTTGCAGTCACAAAATTAACTTTAACATGGACTTTATATAAATGAAGCTGCTGCTCAGATTGTTTGTGATGTTCACTGTTTACTGTCTGGTTCCTCCTCAGCGTTATGTACTGAAGAATGTGCCCACGGACGCTGTGTGTCTCCTGATACCTGCCAGTGTGAACCCGGATGGGGAGGCCTGGACTGCTCCAGCGGTGAGTGCTGCTAATCCACTAGCCTCATGCTAACCGACCGTTAGCATTCTCCTTCCTCCTGTTCTGCTGTCTGTGTGCTGCCATGTTCCGAAAATGCTGCTCGCTTTGTGAACCCTTGTACGTATTGGAGATGATGAGTCTGGATGAGTTTTAGTGAGTTTTAATGATAGTTTTCCTACAAATGTTCCACCAAAACAATCCCTATTCTGCCGGGGCACCGTCCCTGCATCCCGGGCTGAGCAGCGCTTCGGTTTAAAGGAACAACTCGGAGTGTTTTTGAGCCTCTGTAGCAGAATGAGTGGACGGAAAAGTCAAGTGTTGCTGTGAGTTTGGAGCTAATTTTATTCAACCTGCATCATTTTTCATCTCATTTATGTCATAAAACGCCTCATTTGTTCGTGTGCTGTGAAGTTTAAGACTTGCTCTGTAGATTAAAGTTATTCATAATGTCGACTGACACTGGATTTAAAAGTCAGACACATTTGATTAAACACTTGATATTCTCTTTTAAAACAAGCACAAACATTTCAAACATACAGATTTAAAAACACATTTAAGGAGGAAAATCTGCCCAAAAACGCTCCTAAAAGTCGCATCTATCGACGGTTAGACTATTGTTTCGTACCCTGCAGTCCGAGCCGTTTGCACAGCGTCTTTCTCCCTTTTCGCTTTTTCTTTTATTTTACAAATCGAAGCTTAATGTGCACGAATCAGAGCTGCAGCATTAATAACTGCTGACAGTTTAATGATGGCAGATTGACATTTTAAAGCGTCTGTCTGTAACCTTCTGCGGCGATAAAAGGCGCTTTTTCTCCCGGCGAGGCTCATCTCCGAACTAATCTGTTGTAGGTAAATAAAGAGACGTTTAATGAGCCAGAAGGACATCATCATTTTCCTGCTCAGGTAGTTTAAATTCCAGTTTCGGTTCATTTTTAGGGCACAGAAACAGTTGAAGGCGTCCGCAGAGCCATAAAACCGTTTAAGTGACGTCATCATCTACAGGAGAAGCAGAACATGCAAACACAAACCTCCAGAGGTTCAAACACGATGACGTTTGTGCAGAACGTTCGGTTTTCTGACGGTGGATGAACTGAAAGCTGTCAGCTGTGGAATCTGAGGCCGAACCAATAAGATGTTTAAGGAGCAGAAGTTGTCGTGACACCGAACAGATGTCAAAAGTTTTATTGTTAGATTTCCCAAACGGCTGCTGTCTCAGTGTTTAATATTAAAGGACTTTATGTCAAACCTGAACTCTGCTGCAGAATAAATACGGCATCACGTCTGAGTCCGCTGTCTGTTTATGTCAAAGCAAATTACACAAGAAAAAGAAAAAAGTTTGATTCATAACTTTAAAGTTATTCAAACATAGAAACGCATCTCGTTTCTTGATCAATCTGCCTGCAGGCCGACATAACAGGAAAATATGTCGTTGTAGCTTCAAAATATGTCATTACAGCATAAAATATATCTGGAAATAACATAAAAATCTTGTTAATACAAACAAGTAGTAGTAATGAAAACCTTATTATAGCCGGAGCCTGGAGAGATGTGAAAATATCTCGACATGACGTGAAAATATTTAGTAACATAAACATATATTGTCATGATTAAAAAAACCAAAAAAAACGTCACGTAACATGAAACTATCTGGTTTTAGCACAAAAATATCTTCTTTTCCGTCATTATATTCTCGCTGGAACTTGAAAATAATTCATCATGTTGTGAAAATATCTCGACATAAAACCAAAATTATAATCATTACAACAGGATCTTGAAAAAATGTGAAAACATCTCGTTATAAGATGAAAGCATCTCGTTCTAACATGTTGTGATGCAGACAAACCTTTGACATTACGTAGAAATATCTTGTTATAACACTAAACATCTCCTCATGACATGAAAACATCTCGACATAACGTGAAACTGTCTGGTTGTGATGTGACGGCATCTCATCATCACGTGCTCGTATCTCGTTATAGCTTCAACACTTATCATGAGGAATGTGCTCTAACGTGAACCCGTCTCTGTGTAACATGAAACTATCTGGTTGTGATGTGAGAATGTGACGGACGGTGATCCAGAGGAGCTGCAGAAAACAGGCCAGTCTTTGTCTTGATCGTTTTGAAGCTTCAGGTTTCAGGAAACAGAAGTAATTTCAGAGTTACTGACCAGCGGCTCTGCATCACATTCAGCTCAGCTCCGTGGTTAGGAGACGGTTTTAGGTTTTAAATGAAGCCGCTGCATCTCGCTGTGAGTTTATTTCCAGTTTATTCCTCTGCTGGGCTCTGCTTCAGTCTGAGAGTCTGGTCCTGGTCTCAGCACGACGAGGAAAGGTCTCGTCATGACATGAAAATATGTCGACATAATATAAAAAACATTTAGTCAGGATGTGAAATGTCTTGTGATGACCTGGTCATATCAGAGGATCATATCAGAATGGAAACATTTCTTGTTATTTTTAGAAAAATATCTGAAAATGTCCATCATCATGTGAAAACATCTTGTTTTACCGTCAGAACATCTCACCGTAACCTGAAAATACGACATGAAAATATCTCATCATCATGTTATGACACAACAATATAAGAAGATGAAAATATCTTGTTATACGACAAAAACTGATTTTTTATCATCTGAAAATGTCTCAGCGTTGTGCAGAATTGACATCATGATGTGAAACATCTCGCTTTAATGTGAAAATATCTGGTTATGTCATGAACATATTTCACTGTAACTTGAACATATCTTGTTTACCATGAAAATATTTCATCATCACGTGAAAACGTCTCGTCACGACAAAACAATACACGACGATAGTATAAGTAGATGAAAATATCTTGTTATACCATAAAAATAGAGTTTTTATCATTTGAAACATCTGGTTGT